GCGTCGTGCGCTGTTGGTTTCTTCCTCGCTTGAATCACCTGAGGAATCAGCATAGGAGACCAGAACCCCTGTCTGATCATCATCATCCACCAAATCTGCCCACGCTCGGCTGAATGGGTACGACAAACCACCACGAGGCTTTACTGGTTCCAGCGGCTTCGGCTTTTCCACCACTTCCGCCGGCTGCACACGCCGTTGTGAGCGAGAGCGTGGCACCAGTCGCACCTGTTTTTTATCCAGCAAGGGCCTTCCCCTTTTAACAGGGTTTGATCTTGACCTACCCGCCTTTGTTGGCGGGTTCACCGGTGGCATTCCAACTCCCACCAATCGCAACTTCTGCACACACAGCGGGGACCTCTGCGCAAGCGTCCAAGAGTCACGGTACTTGCCTGTGTCGAAAATCTCTCGATAAGACCCTCGTGGCATTTCCTTTGTACCAGGACCTTCAGCTTCACGCACTTGAGAGATAGTTCTCACCCCACCTCTTCCAGCTTCATGGCTTCCAGAAGATTGCTGCACGCGTACCGATGCGTTTGACATTGGCCGGTATTGGACACCACCCACCAATTGCAGAATTTTGCAGGCTGTCACCTTGCTAACCCCTTTTTCCACCAAATCCTCCACAAAGATGTACTCTTGTAGCTCCTGGACATTGGTCACACCAAGCTTGATCATCACCTCACTTACGTGAGGCGTATACACCCACAAGTGTTGGTTGCGAGCCATCCAATTTTCTATTGGCTCTTCTGGATTCTGAAGACGTACAGTGGTAGACTCTGCTACCGAATCCTTTTGTACATCTCCATCTGTTCCATCCAGCGTATCAACCTCACCTGCTTTCTTTGACACATTGGTCATTTGCAACGCTTGTGGTGCTGAGGAGGACGAAGATTCAGCTCCCCCACTTGCAGGTGGCTGAAAAATACTCCCGTCCGAAATCTCCAATCCTCTCTCTCTTTCAAACCGGACCTGATTGGCCACATGTACCAAATGTTTCAGGTGCGCCAGCCGCTCATCTGTCATCTCGTCGTGGGAAAATCTGCAAGAATTGAACCGCTTACGGCAATGTCCTCTGAGGTAATAATCGAAACAGCAATGGTGGAACCCTGCGTCCCGTAGTGCCTTCCTGGAAGCATTGTCCCAAGCTTTGCCGGGTTCCCAAGTCCCTTCCAATGCTACTTCATCGTCGTGAAGATACCTGCATGAACTCCCATACTTACAACCACCTTGATTGTAATACAGACACAGCCGACTTTTTGGCTCACCCAACGTAGGTTCACCCTTTGATGCACCTTTACCAAAGTTGTACTTGGCCCGGAAGGCTGAATCCTCCCGCCTCCCGCTCCTGCTGTGCCTCATCCACTGTGCCTTCCTCTGTAGGAGGGTCACCAATGTTCCCATCCTCATCTCCAGCTTTTTGGCTGTTCTTTGGCTCAGTTGGTCCACCTCCTGGCCAACCTTCACCATAACGACGATGTTCATAGGAACACTCATCTCCATTGCGACACCTTCCCTGATTGAAGAACTTGCACAGCTTGCTGTATCCTGGTGACACAGTTCTTGGCGTCATGTGAGCCTTTTTATACTGATCTGGATCCATATAGGCTTCCATTGGCCTGTTTTCCCTCTTACTCATAACTTCGATTGCACCATCAAGCTCCTGCAAAAACCGCTTGGTATCCAGCCACAGCTCGTTCCAAAGTTCATCTTTACCTTGGCTTAGCAACATTGCCACCGCTTCACCCACGACTGGTCCACTAAATCTCCTCTTCTTGCGTGCCAGTTCGTAGAGCGCGTTGTGGTACTGCTTCCGGGAAAAGGTGATTGTTTTTCCAAACCTGCACATTCTGTACCATCGGGCTTCCAACCATCACTTTGCAAGATGCTGTATGCACGCCGAGCCTCAGTGTTCAGGAATGCATGATCTGCGACACACTCCATAATCTCGTCTATTGGACGACTCAGCAACATCCCAGTGATTTTGCCCACATAGGCCTTATCCACTGTCTCATCTTCCAGAAGAGTTCTATAGATCTTTTCTCCATAGAGCTGCTTCTGCACAGCTTCCTCTTGTTCTTTAGAGGATATTCCTGGATCGGCAAACCACTCGCGGGACTGCCGTTCTTCCGACTTCCAGTCCCATTGACCGTCGGAACCTTGGTACCATTGACCAGCGTGCCATGAGCCTGTCCACCATGTACCCCAGCCGCTGTCTTTCCATTTGCGCAGCGTCGAAGAGGAGTCCTCCTCATCCTCTTCCAAAACCAGGAAGGTGTCCAAGATCACGGTACCATCATCATCCACCCTTTCCACTGTTCCATTGACAGTGTCACCAATTTTGAAAGGATGTGTATCTTTCCCTTCCGCAGGAATTAATACATCTATATCGCCATGGTCCAAAAAGGCTCCATGTACATTGATGCAGCGCACTAGACCATTGATCCGATCTCCCTTTTGGTAGAAATGCTTCCCAGGTGTATCCAAGGCTCCCTCTTTGGGCACTTTCTTCATTGGTTCTTCAGAAACCGGAATTGTTTCTTCGGCTCCCGGAACGTCCCTTGTTTCCACCTTGGGGGCAAGCTGCTTGTCCTGCTCCACGAGTCCCACAAGCTCATCCACCTTGTGCTCCTGGAGGTCAGAACCATCCTCTTTTTCAGCCAATGGCTTTGCCTCATCCGTTACAGCTCGCTCGGTGTCGACTTCCGGCAAGCTTTCAGATGGCAACACTTCTCCCTTCCTGGGAGCGGACCCACCATTGGAGTCTTTTTTCAAACCTTCTGCAGCAGGCAAATTTTCTTCCACTACAGGGCTGTTGGATTGGTCATCCGCGGTAGGCATATTTTCTTCCACCGCAGGCTCCTTTGGCTCCATGGTTTCCAAAAGAGAATCACCACTGTCGTTGACCACAGCTGCCACATTGGCTCCGGTGTAGCCTTCGCTATTCCGTTCCTCGCTGCTAACTTCAGGCTGCACCAGTGCGTCCACCTGTGAACCTCCATCGTCAGCTGCTACGGAGACCTGCGCCCCATTGTTGCAGTCATCCGCGGAACGTGACACCATATGCGCCTCAACCCGTGCTTTTTCTGCACTCCAGGTACTATCTGGCACATTGACCCGCGCTTCATTGGCGCTCCAGGCCTCATCTTCCCGATCAACCGTGTCTCCAGCAGTTTCAGAAGCTTCCTTTTTCCCTTGAATGGCAGAATTCTCGGCACCAAACGAAGAGACCTCCTCAGTCGTAACGCACGAATTTTTCCCTCCGTCATCCAAATCTCCAGGACCACCTTCCTGAACGACAGGTACCACATCCACCACTCGCTCTTCTGCAGCCGACACAGTTCCAATCTCCGCATTGGGCATTTTGTCCTCTGGACCCACCGATTCCACCGCTGCCACACCCTCAGAAAGCGCTTCCGTTTCTTCCCGATCCAGATGTTCTCCAGCGATGTTTGCTTGGTTTCCAGAAATTCCTTCCTCTTCAGGAGAACCCGAGGTCTGGGCGTCACCACCACCCCTAAGACCGCTATCCCCGATAGTAGAGGAAAAATCCTTTTCACTTACACTATTTACACCGCTGTTCACACTTTCCAAGCTACCCTGCTGTGCTCTAAAAGACTCAGTAGGTGACGAGGACGAGGTAGTACCCAGTGCTGGCTCATCTGCCACAGGGACAACGCCCATTCCAACACCTGACACCTCACTGTTTCCAGCCACTCCAGTCTTCTTAGGCAACACCCATTGGGTATCTCCAGTGTTCAAGCAGTTCAGATACTCTCTTCCATCTTCATGAAAATGGCGCTCCCACGTCTTCCCATCACAGTCGATGATTGGAAAGTCAGCAGCTTGAGACAATTCGCCTCCCCCAGCAGCATCTAAGTCTTCCTCTGACTCCTGCCGTATTCTCGCTGCTTCCAATTCCAGGATTTCTCCTTCACTCATCACCATAGCAACAGGAACGACTCCTTCTGCGTCCCCAGTAAAGAGGCTACTGCTTTTTGTCGCAGCAACAGGCGCAGTTTCCTCCGCTTCACCTGTCGACAGATCACCACTTTCAGTCGCGAAGCTCACTTGATTGCGAGCTCGCTTGGAAACAGGGATAACATCCCCAACCAGCTCTGTCTGGCACTCTTGCTCCACCATCTTCGATGTAGAGGAGCTTGTTTTTGACGCTCCCGTTGATTCAGCAGGTTCCGCAGCTTCGAAGACAAAGCCCATGTTTGCTCAGAAGGCGTAGCAAAGCTACTTCCATCTGGTCTTCCAGTCCTTCCACCACCGGCTTCTCTTCGCCACGCATACCACCAGCATCAACCAGAGCTTCCGCATTGGGAACCACTTTTTCACCCGTTGCAGACCTTTTGACACCACCTTCACCTTGATCGCCCACATTGGAGCTTGATGATGCCGTACCAGTCTGTAACCAATTGGTGGCCATTGCTTCAAGCTACCACCCTAAAACCGAAACACAAAACGCAGGGAACCTAACTTGGGCTCATAACCTACGGGGGGCAACCGAAGGAGGACAGGGAACAAAACAGTCAACCCCAACAGAAGCCCTTGATCCCCTGGACCAACAAACAACAAACCAACCCAAAACACCAAGCACCCTTTGTTCACTAGGCGCATGGCCCGATCTTGAGCCAAAAAATAGTACCGGGTACATTGACCCTTTATCCTTCTACACCAACTCTTTTCTTCAATACAAACTGCAGCTCCGCACCCTAAACCCTAAACCTTGTAAAGGGTTCACCGGCCTTTCGAGCCTCAGGTTGTTTAAAGGTTTTTAGGAGTTTGAAAACGGCTTGGGGCGGTTTTTCTAGAAAACGCCCACCCCCCAAAACCCCAAATACCAAGCCCCAAACAGCTCAAACCGTCAAACCATCAAACCCTAAGCCCGAAGCCCTAAGCCCTAAACCCTAAACCTAAACCCTAAACCCTAAACCCTAAACCCTAAACCCTAAGCCCTAAACCCTAAACCCTAAACCCTAAACCCTAAACCCGGCCTTGGAGGGGGCCTCGGGTGAGACCATGGAGAGAAAGCTGGTGCCACCGGCCAGCGTGAAGACCTCGGTGCCGCAGATGTTTAGGGTTTAGGATTTAGGGTTTAGGGTTTAGGTTTTAGGGTTTAGGATTTAGGGTTTCGGGTTTAGGGTTTAGGGTTCAGGGTTTAGGGTTTAGGGTTCAGGGTGCAGGGTTCATGCTTTAGGGTTTAGGGTTTCGGGCTTAGGGCTTAGGGTTTAGGGTTTAGGGCACGTAGGATTGCAGGCTGCATGCTTCGGGGCACCAGGGCTTCAAGATCAGAAAATCGGCGACTGAGGGCGTTTGAGGCTTCTTCGGCCAAAGGGCGGTGGAGTCCAGCGGCCAGCGTAGGTCCTCTTCGACCTCAGCGGAGCGCGCGCCTCACTCGACACAAGGCGGTTGGCACACCCTTGCCCCTGGTTCTTCGCAGGGATGAGGGAATTGGGGCCCTAGAAATACCAGATTATATCCTCGAAGTACCATTTCAGGCATTATATCCTAGAAATACCATTTCAGGGATTATATCCTAGAAATACCATTCCAGGGATTATATCCTAGAAATACCATTTCAGGGATTATATCCTAGAAATACCATTTCAGGGAATATATAGGGTACCTCATTCCCTCATTCCTGCTGAGAACCAGCCAGTCTCAGCTTGCAGAGTCCCGGGAAGAGGGCCCACTGACCCGAGTAGATACCCGAAGCATCCAACCTGCCAAAGGGGGGCAAGATGGAGTTGGGCTTAGGGTTTAAGGTTTAGGGTTTAGGGTTTAGGGTTTGGGGTTTGGGGTTTGGGGTTTGGGGTTTGGGGTTTGGGGTTTGGGGTTTGGGGTTTAGGGTTTCGGGTTTGTTGTTTAGAAGGAAGGGCTCCTACAGCTGCCGCCAGATGCCATCGACGCAGCAACTTTTGTTGTGGAACTCGGGCACGGCTAACAGTTTGATAGGTAATCCCCCCCCCCCCTAAACCCTAAACCCTAAACCCTAAACCCTACACCCTACACCCTAAACCCTAAACCCTAAACCCTAAACCCTAAACCCGAAACCCTAAACCCTAAACCCTAACTTTCTGAAACCCGTACATCGGCTTCGGACGGACCCCTTTTTTGAGGAGCCCCCTGGCCTGGCATCCAGCTGAACCTCGGCGCCGAGCCCACGGAAAGTGCGTCGGGGTGGGGTTCATGGGCACTTCTAAGTAGGGTTATAATGCCTTCATTACCCATATCCCCTACTTCCCCAAACCCTAAACCCTAAACCCTAAACCCTAAACCCTAAACCACCCGTGAACCTTCAAGTACACCCCCCCTACATGCGAAACCCTAAACACTAAAGCCCAAACCCCCAAACCCTAAGCCCTAAAGCCTCAACCGTTGCCTAAACCGTAAACCTGAAGCCGCAAATGTTGCAACATCTGCTGAGGAGCCCATTTGGAGCTGGCGGCGCTGCTGGCAACCCCACGCTGCGAGTGGATCCACCTTCTGGTGGCAGACTCGGGTGTAGGGCTTAGCGCTTTTGGCTGGTTAGGCTTTAGGGTTTGGGGTTTAGGGTTTAGGCTGGTTAGGGTTTAGGGTTCGTGGTTTGGGGTTTAGGGTTTCGGCCTTAGGGCAGCGAATGTGATGCGCAGCGCGAGGACTGATCTCCAATTGCAAAGCAAATGCTCATAGCATGCTGTACACAAGGGGTGAGTTCTCAAAATCATGGGCCCTTGTTGGGTACCCTAAATAGTAGAACCCGCCTTATGACAAGGAACCCAAACGGGGAATACATGCTAGAGAAGCGACCAATAAGAATCCTAAACCCCAATCCCTAAAGCCCAAACCCTAAACCCTAAACCCTAAACCCTAAACCTTAAACCCTAAACCCAAAGAGGATCTTTATTTTCTCAGGCCCGCGCCAGCGGTCCAGCGAAAGCTTGGGAAACCGAAGCACAGTGCTGGAACCTTCGGGGCGCACGGGGGTTTGTCGGGTGCGCTGTACCGAGCACTACCTCTATCAAATCCCTTCTGGGTTTAGGGTTTTGGGTTTGGGGTTTGGGGTTTAGGGTTTAGGGTTTTGGGTTTTAGGGTTCAGGGTTCGGGGTTTGGGGTTTTCAGGGCCGGCGCGGCTCCTACGGAACGAACCGTCCCAATGTCTGACTCCGAGTCTGGGGCCGACATTGATGCTCGTGTTTCGCTGATCCTGCAGCAAAGGCTGCGTTTCGGGTTTAGGGTTTAGGGTTTAAGGTTTTGGGTTTGGGGTCTGGGGTTTGGGGTTTAGGGTTTAGGGTTTAGGGCCAGTTTAGGCTTTCAGCCTGACTGTGAAGGCGAGATTGCTACAGAAAACGCTGGCGGCTGCAGCAACAAAACAAAGGTCCTGCGTGTGGTCTTCTGTCAAGGCCAAACCGTTCCACCAGCCTGAGAAGGGTCAGAACATCAAACCCTAAACCCCAAACCCTAAACCCCAAACCCTAAACCCCAAACCCCAAACCCCTAAACCTAAACCACCAAAGCCGGGCTAGGGCTCAAGGCTTCGGGTTTTCGGCCGGCTTCAGTCCTCAAAGTGGCGTTTCAGGCTGTTTCTGGGGAGCAGGGAAACCCCAAACCCCAAACCCCAAACCCTAAACCCCTAAACCCCTAAACCCCTAAACCCTAAACCCTACACCCTAGGGTCGCAATTCCCGAACCCGAAATCCTGAAGGCACAGTTTGAGCATCGGCCTCCCAATCTTCGAAGTTGTATTGTGGGTTCCCCTACTACCCCCCCTCTGTACTACCCCCCCGAGGTTCTTCCGGTAGTTAAGGCTATTGTCGGATAGTTAAGCTGAATTAAGGTATTTAAGAAGGGAACCTAGGGGGGGGTAGTATAGAGGGGGTAGTAGGGAAACCCATAATTGTAGATCCCAGCCCTTGCAAATATAAGGGATTGCGAGATTGGGGGTACCTTATTGGGGTCCGTATTGTGAGGGGATCCTGCGATTCGGGGGACTATATTCGGGAACCCTTCTTCTCGTAAACCCCCATATCTGAAAGCCTGAAAACCAAGAATCCTTAAGAACACCAAACTCCTGTACTAAGTTACTTATAAGCCCCTTACGTGCCCTTATATGGTTATATGTACAGTTACAAGTACAGCTATAATTGGTTCATAGGTATCTAAACCCTAAACCCTAAACCCTAAACCCTAAACCCTAAACCCTAAACCCTAAACCCTAAACCCTAAACCCTAAACCCTAAACCCTAAACCTCCAAGTAAGAACACCAAACTCCCCACCCCAGCCTTCGGCCACCTCAGTCCGCTGGCGCCGGAGCGGCCTCGACCAGGAAGATGGAGAGGATTTAGGGTTCAGGGTTTCGGGTTTAGGGTTTAGGGTTGAGGGTTTAGGGTGTAGGGTTCAGATTTTCGGGTTTCGGGTTTAGGGTGCAGGGTTTAGGGTTTAAGGTTTAGGGTTTAGGGTTTAGGGTTTAGGTTTTTGTTTGTTTCGGGTGTAGGGTTTGTCGTATGGTTCAGTGGTTTAGGGGTTTAAGGGAAGGCTCAGCCTTTTTTAGGGGCTTGCGTGGTTTCGAGGCTAGGCGCAGGTCAGGGAAGGACGCAGCCTCGCAACCCCCAAATCCTGGCCTACATCAGCGCGACTCAAAGCCCCCTTCCCTTCCGGCTTTCCAGAGGAACCTACAGGCTATTAGTACGAAATGAATGGACCTACAGGCTATTAGTACGGAATGAAGGGACAAGGTATCATATAGAATCCCCGAAACAGCTGAAAGCGGGACATACACGGTGCCTTGCTAAGAACCAGGGATGTGAATGGCCCTTCTACATCGCTACTGTTCGAGACTACCCCTTAGCAAGAAAAGGCAGGTGAGCACGACGCGAATTCTACAGCATTCTTGGAACCCGGAAACAAAGCACTCGCCAAACCCTCAAGCCTCAACCCTACACGCTCAGTCCCCAAATCCTAAACCCTAAGCCCTAAACCCTAAACCCTCAGTCCCTGAACCCTCAGTCCCCAAACGCTGAACCCGAAATCCTCAGTCCCTAACCCTCAGTCCCTAAACCCTAAACCCTGAATCCTCAATCCCTAAACCATAAACCCTGTACCCTAAACTTACCCTAAACCCTAAACCCTAACCCCAAACCCTAAACCCTACTGACTGGGCTGCAGGCTCCACGAGCAGCAGAGGAACAACCCAGGTCTGCGCAAGGGGCGCGGGTCAACGAAATCATTAGGGTTAGGGTTGAGGGTTTAGGGTTTAGGTTTTAGGGTGTAGAGTTAAGGGTTTAGGATTAAGGGTTTAGGGTGTTGGGTTGTTGTGTAGGGTATGAGGCAGCTGTTGGGCATTTCTCAAGAACCTGCCATCACATGCATCGGTTTCGAGGAGATGAATATAAGGGCTTCCTTCCGCAGATAGGGGAACCCCTTGAAGACACCACTTGGAAGCCCTTTTGACTTAGTAAGTCTACTTAGTATCTCCAAGGAACCCTACTATAATCCCCATATCCCATCTTACCAACCCTACTAAGTCAAAAGGGCCTCCAGGTAAGGTACCCCCCCCCTCCATTTCCGGAAATCGCCCCTCATCCAATCCCTTTCGGCAATCGCCAGTCATCCAATCCCGAACAGCCCAGGCTTGAGCCCTAAAACCTCTGGATTAGGGTTTAGGGTTTGGGTTTAGGGTTTAGGGTTTAGGGTTTCGGGTTGAGGGTTTAGGGTTTAGGGTTTAGGGTTGAGGGCCGAACCCCGTGACGGAAAAAAAACCGAGACCTGCAAAAGACGCATAAGCCACACCTGGCTCAGCCGATCGCCACGCAGCCTGGCCTCCAAAGTGCCCACTGCAGTCAATTTTTTTCCACCCCTCCAAACCCCGGGGACCAAAACAAGATTTGGGGGGGGGGGGGGGGTTATTAAAGGGACCCTAACATTATTCTACTCGCCATCCAGGGGTAGCGTTTAAGCTTTAGGGTTCAGGGCTCCCTAAACCCTAAACAGTAAACCCTAAACCCTAAACCCTAAACCCTAAACCCTATAGGGTCTAGAGCCTAGGGCTCAGGGTTTGTTATAGGGCTCCTCAGGGAGGGGGGGTTCAAGGGGGGTATGTAACCCCAAGTGTCCCGAATCCTTCCCACACTTCCTTCCTAAGGTTCCCTAAGCTTCCTAAGGTTCCCTAGGCACGTACCCCCTATGAACAACCTCCTCCCTTAAGGACCCTGCAAGTTTAGGGTTCAGGGTTTAGGGTTTAGGGTTTAGGGTTCAGGGTTTCGGGCTTCGGGTTTAGGGTTTAGGGTTTCGGGTTTAGGGTTTAGGGTTTAGGGTTTAGGGTTTAGGGTTTAGGGTTTAGGGTTTAGGGCTTAGGGTTTAGGATGCCGGGGCCTTCAACCGCGGCGAGATTGCTTGGGCCCCAGGCACCTGGGGTCCTCCGTAGCCCACCTGAACTGCGAAGAGGGTTTAGGTTTATTGGGTTATGGGGTTTAGGGTTTGGGGTTTAGGGTTTAGGGTTTAGGGCTTAGGGTTTAGGGTTTAGGGTTACAGTTGTGGGCTCTATGCTTTCGGGCTTCTCGTTTTAGGGCCTAGGGTTTGGTTTAGGAGCTCAAGCCGCTGATGCTTTGCTGTTGCATCTCAGCGCTGTTGACTTCATCCGTCCCACCGCCTTTGGGAAAGTAGAACGATTCCGTGCGCATGGTTGCAATAACGCCTAAAACCCTACACCCTAAACCCTAAACTACCCTAAACCCTAAACCCTAAACCCTAAACCCGAAACCCTAAAAACCCTAAACCCTAAACCCTGTCCGTATGTTCTCTGCTGCCGAAGGCACAGGGCCTGAGAGAACCGACCGAGAGGAATCATGCTTAAGCTCCGGGGGTTTAAGGTTTAAGGCTAGTGTTACAGTTAGGGTTTAGGGTTTAGGGTTTAGGGTTTAGGGTTTAGGGTTTAGGGTTTAGGGTTTAGGGTTTCGGGTTTCGGGGTTAGGGTTTCGGGTTCTGGCTGCACCGGAGCAAGTCGAAGTGACAAGCGATCAAAAACCCCAGAGGGCCCCAGAGGGAACGAATGCACCTTCGTTCTACAAAAGGATCCCTACCACACTCTCACCCTAAACCCTAAACCCTAAACCCTAAACCCTAAACCCTAAACCCTAAACCCTAAACCCTAAACCCTAAACCCTTCAGTGGCACTGGGCTTCTTCGGTAAACCAAGACCTGCCTGGAAGCTGAGGTCAGAGCATTGTGGACGAAGAACTCACGGACCAAGAGTACCCAGGCTGCCACCTGCATGGCCTTACTCGCATACTTCCGCTGGTGTTTCTTGCTGAGCCTTGGCTGCTCCGAAGGAACTTCAATTCAATGAGTACTAGGGATGCATGGTAAACAAATATACGACTCCCTTTTTCCTGGAATTAAAACCTTAAAGCCTATTAAAAACACGAACCCCACCCCAAAAAAAAAAAAAATGAATATTATTATTATTATTATAAATAAAAAATAAACAAATAAATAAATACATAAATAAATAAATAAATACTAAATAAATAAATTAATTAATAAATTAACTAATTAATAATACATAAATAAAGAAATAAAGAAATAAATGAATAAATAAATAAAACAAAATAAAATAAAATAAAATAAATAAATAAATAAATAAATAAGCAAAGAAAAACAAAGCCCCGAAACCGTAAGGACCCACAACCCCAAACTGCCGAACAAACCCAAGCCAACCTAAGGACCCTGCAACCCACCCTGTACCCTAAGCCCTAAACCCTAAACCCTAAACCCTAACCCAGGAGCGCGTCGTCATAGAAGGCCGTCGTCTCGGCGAGACGCCTCCATGACCAGATCTCCTCGGAGACGTTCCGCTGTAGCCAGTCTCGGAACCCTTCCAGCTCCTTTTTTAGGCGGATGGTTGAGGGTTTAGGGTTTAGGGTTTAGGGTTTAGGGGTTCAACTTCGATCCAACTTCGGGTCTCGGGGAGGGGAGGATGGTTGGGGTGTGGAGTTTGGGGTTTCGGGTTGAGGGTTGACATTCCAGAACGTACCGCAAATACAGCGAAATTTCAGGCGGGGGGGGGGGGGGGGGGGGGGGGGGGGTCTAGGCTACAATGCTCGGGTTGGGGTTATAGGCTTGTAGGGCGGGGTTTACAGGGTTGCAAGCTTATCAGCCTAGCGAAGGATTTCTGAGGCGAAAGAGGTGTAACCTTTGGCAACCCTGAATGCGCAGGCGTATAGGGACCAGTCTATATGAGGCTTCAGAGCTTTATCCCCTACATAAACCCTAAACCCCTAAACCCTCCTTTCCACCCGGCCTCTAGGGTGCCTGGACCCAGAACTAAACCCTCAATACTAAACCCTAAACCCTAAACCCTAAACCCGAAACCCTAAACCCTAAACCCTAAACCCTAAACCCTAAACCCTAAACCCTAAACCCTAAACCCTAAACCCCAAGCCGCTCTTCAAGCCTTGGGTCCTTCACCAGGGGCGGCGGGCTGCACCGCTCCCAGGGAGCAACGAAGCCTTCCAGCAGGTCCCTCAGCCAGTGTACCGAAGGGGGTGGGAAGATGTCCTTGGAGACGAGGGTAAACAGTTTGTGTAGGGTTTAGGGTGGGGGGTGTAGGGTTTGGGGTTTGGGGTTTCGGGTCGAGGGCCTAGGGTTTAGGGTTTAGGCCTTTGCCGTTTGCCCCGTGGAGGAAGAACAAGACGAAGAAAGAGCCAATGCGTGCGTGCACATATGTGTATCTACACACACATACATACATACATACATACATACATACATACATACATACATGACATGACATGACATGACATGACATGACATGACATGACATGACATGACATGACATGACATGACATGACATGACATGACATGACATGACATGACATGACATGACATGACATGACATGACATGACATGACATGACATGACATGACATGACATCCCTTTTCGGGCCACGCGTCCATGGAGAAGGCAACAAGCTGCCGAAGGAGCAAGACCATGCTCCACTCGCAGGTCAGGCCCAGGCCCTTGAGGAGCACGTGCACGTCGTGGAGGGCGATCCAGTCGCAGCTGAGCACGTGCTGCAGCAGCCGGGCGGCGCAGAGCAAGGTCACGCAGAGCCGCCGGCCCTTGCAGGGTTCCACGAAGTCCAGCTGCAGCTGCGGGTGGCCTGACTTGTTGAGACAGGCCCGTCAAGACTCAAGGCCTGCCCTCAGGGCTTCAAAGAAACACGAGCAAAAGGCACCGGAAAAAGGCTCTAAACATCCAGTCCGGTGGCTTCTGGGGGCCAGCATGCAATGCACCTTGCGCTGCCAGAACGGAGACTGGTCGAGAGCCTCCCGGAGCCCGCGGCCAGCGCTGCGCAGCGCCATGGCTGCTTGGAACGACCGGACATCCCCAAGGCCACCAGCCAGGCACCAGAGGACGTGGAATAAAACGTCCGGCGTGAGCTGGACAAGCAGCGGCTTCGTTGGGGGCGCCAGAACGACGCCTTTCCGGAGGTGCAGCTGGTTGGCTGCTGCCCGGCCCGGCTTGTGCCTGGCCTGGTGGCAATTCAGCGATCCCATGCTGCAGCAAGCTAGGGTATCTAGGGTTCAAGGCTCGTGAGAAGTTGAAGTCAGACTACGAACTCGCGTAACTAAAGTTACATGAAACCCCCCCCCAAAAGCATATATATATATATATATATATAAGTATACCTTACTTTGCATACCCCCATGATTCCTCAGGTATGAAGTCAAGCCTGGAGAGAGCCATAGGCCGCCTGTCACAGGCCCCCCGGGCGCGCGGCTGAGCGGATGCTGAGCTGAGCGCATGCTGACGTGCCCAGCTCAAGGGGAATCTCATGCACAGATCACCCTAAACCCTAAACCCTAAACCCTAAACCCTAAACCCTAAACCCTAAACCCTAAACCCTAAACCCTCAACCCTAAACCCTAAACCCTAAACCCAACTCTTTTTGTTACCCAAGGAGCATGCTGCGTGTGTTGCAGGTTGCTTGAAAGGCATACATGATTGGCCTCGGCTTCAGGTGGCTTCGCCATGGCCCGCCAAAGCCAATCCTTGGGGCATCTGCCGCTTGGCGCGCGTGGGCAAGCGCCCGGCCCCTGGCCATTAGCACAAGTCATGGCACGTAGGCTTGGCATGGCCAGCGCGTGCCTGAGACTCAAAAACCATCAGATTGCACACTTTGGCCGGTGGTGAACCAGTGCAACCCCCGCGACTCGAAATCGCAATTCAAAGAAGGCTGTGTTTCACATCAGCCACAGGCCCAACCCTAAAGGGGTCGGACAAGGCTACACCGGGCGACGTCAGCGTACTCCAATCGTCATGTACCACACGAGAAAGACCTCCAACAGAGGCGAGGCCCAGGTCACCCTAAACCCTAAACCCTAAACCCTAAACCCTAAACCCTAAACCCTAAACCCTAAACCCTAAACCCTAAACCCTAAACCCTAAACCCTAAACCCTAAACCCTAAGGCCCGAGGCGCCTCGAAGCTGAGCTTTCCCAATCGGGCTTTGTCTGCCTGGGATGGGCGCTGGAAGCCTCTCCCTGCTCCCCGCTTCTGCTTTGTGGCCCTGCCTTCTGTTTAAGTGGTATAAGGAGGGATTTCCAGAAGGGACCCGTAGTCTTCTCCTCCCCCTATAGCCCATATATATATATATATATATATATATATATAGATATATATATATATATGCATATGTATATGTATATGTATATGTATATGTATATGTATATGTATATGTATATGTATATGTATATGTATATGTAAATATATATATATACCTTATATGTACATATAGATATACATATATATATATACCAAAGTAGCCCCCAAATAACCCCTAAAGAGCCCGTAAGGTCCCTCCTTTAGTCCCATGATTCTGGGGGTTGTCCTAAGGTTGTACCTGTTTAAAGATCCTTAGGGTTTAGGGTTTAGGGTTTAGGGTTTAGGGTTTAGGGTTTAGGGTTTAGGGTTTAGGGTTTAGGGTTTAGGGTTTAGGGTTTAGGGTTTAGGGGTTAGGGGTTAGGGTTTAGGGTTTAGGGTAAGGGCCATACTAGAAGTACATGAACTGGAACCTCTTAGGGGTACAACTCTTGGGTACGAGTCTGAACAGGGCCCTGCAGCCTAAAGCTAAGCTACGGGCTCTTCATAGGGAATGAAGGACCAGGAACCTGATATAATACCTTAAAGGCTTACACAAGGGTAACTTGACAACCCGCCAACCCCCCCCCCCCCCCCCTAAACCCCAAACCCTAAACCCCAAACCCTAAACCCCAAACCCTAAACCCCAAACCCTAAACCCCAAACCCTAAACCCCAAACCCTAAACCCCAAACCCAAAACCCTAAACCCCAAACCCAACCCCAAAGCTCCAGCCTCCAGCCAGAACTGTCGCAGCCTTGTGGCGGAGATGTCTTCCCTCAGCCAGGTGACGCTCTGGGGCTGGGGGATCTCAGTGCCTTAAGGGTTTAGGGGTTAGGGTTTAGGGTTTGGGGTTTAGGGCTTAGGGTTTCATATCAGTACCTTAAGGGCTTTCAGGGCTTAACTTTTTCAAAAGGGCTCAGAGGCTGCTTCCTCGCCAGATTGTGAGCTTAGGGGCTTTTCAAGGCCTTCAGGGCTTCGGCGTGTGGAGAAGGGCTTAAGGAGGCTTAGGGTGTAGGGTTTAGGGTTTAGGGTTTAGGGTTTAGGGCTTAGGGCTTAGGGTTTAGGGTTTAGGGTTTAGGGTTTAGGGATTTTGTTCCCAAGTTACCCTGATATAAGCCTTCTAGGGGCTATATAAGCGCCTTAAGGGCTTTGAGCTCTTTGAACCCCCCGCCCCCCCACGTCTGCGCCACCTGTATCTGCCTAAGGGAGGAGATTGGTGTTCCATTCGCTGTTGAAGGCCTGGATCGGTCCCAAACCCTAAACCCTAAACCCTGAACCCTGAACCCTGAACCCTAAACCCTAAACCCTCAACCCTAAACCCTAAACCCTAAACCCTGAACTCTCAAGCCCCAAACCCGAAACCCGAGGCAAGGCCACAAACTTTAGACCAGTCAATCAAGCCCAGGGCCCCGGGCAACTCACACTTCCACAGGGACGCCACGCAGTGTCGGAACTCAACCTCTTCAATGAAGCCGTTCCTGGTGTTCAGGTTTCTAGGGTTTAGGGTTTAGGGTTCAGGGTTTAGGGTTTAGGGTTTAGGGTTTAGGGTTTAGGGTTTAGGGTTTAGGGTTTAGGGTTTAGGGGGGGGCCCTACAAATATTAGATGTTGATGGCCTTGCAAGGACTCTAGATGGATTGATTTAAGGGTAATAAGAAGAGAAACGCTATGCTCAAACCTACCCCTGGTTTAGGGTCCAAGGGCTTAAGGCTTAGGGTTTTCGGCTTCATGTGGTCTGGTGCTTCAGGTCTTCGCGCTTGGGGAAACCTGAAACGTAAAAACCCCCTAAACCCTAAACCCCACATGTTTATGCTGCGGAGACAGCTTCTTTTCCTCAACGCGCGTGGGATTCGGGGTCAGATCTCGCAGGTGGATCCCGACAGGGTGTACTTAGAAGCTCTCTTAGGGTTTAGGGTTTAGGGTTTAGGGTTAGGGTTTAGGGTTTAGGGTTTAGGGTTTAGGGTGTAGGGTTTAGGGTTAGGGTTTAGGGTTTAGGGTCTAGGAGTATCCCATGGAAACCCGATTGTGATCCCATAACCCACCTGACGACCTGACTTCCTGAGTCAAAAGGGCTTCCAGCAAGTAGGGGTGTAGAGGCGTAGGGGTTTAGGGTCCCTAAACCCCAAACCCCAAACCCCAAACCCTAAACCCTAAACCCTAAACCCTAAACCCTAAACCCTAAACCCTAAACCCAAGACCCAAACACTCGAGGCCCGAAGGCCCCCAGAAGGCGTTGAAATCCAGAGCCCCCAAACCTCCACCCGAAGCCAAGGATTGAAGAGGGTTTGGGGGTTTCGGGTTTAGGGTGTAGGTTTAGGGCTTTTAGGGTTTAGGGCTTCGGCTAGGATCATTTAGGGTTTAGGGTTTCGGGTTTAGGGTTTCGGGTTGAGGGCCTAGGGGAATATTTTGGGGGGGGGGGGGGGGGGGGGTGGTACCCCCTTTAAGGGGCAGGCCCGAACTGTCCCTAAACCCTCAACCCTAAACCCTAAACCCTAAACCCTAAACCCTAAACCCTAAACCCTAAACCCTAAACCCTAAACCCTAAACCCTAAACCCTAAACCCTAAACCCTAACCCTTTGAAAGCCAACGACAGAGGGTCCTGTTGGAGTCGGATTCGCTGAAGGTTTTGTGGCATCGATCGACCTCGAGCTGCCCCTTACTTGACCATAAGGTCGCTTTTTGTTGTTGCTTTAGGGTTTAGGGTTTAGGGTTTAGGGTTTAGGGTTTAGGGTTTAGGGTTTAGGGTTTAGGGTTTAGGGTTTAGGGTTTAGGGTTTAGGGTTTAGGGTTAGGGTTTGGGGGTTTAGGGTTTATGGGGGGGGGGGGGGGGGGGGGGGTGGTGGTTGGGCTTAGGGTTTAGGGCTCAGGTCTGTTCTATCCTGGGCTCTTAGATGTTGATTCTTGGGTTGCACAAGAGTGTATGACATGCTAGCACAGTGGGCTACAGCTTGAAGGCTTTGCAACAGAAACCCTAAACCCTAAACCCTAAACCCTAAACCCTAAACCCTAAACCCTAAACCCTAAACCTTAAGCCATAAACCCTAAACCCTAAACCCTAGCAAGCCTTGCACTCAGCAACAAACCCTCAAACTGCAGACGATAGAAAGAGTCAGTGGAAAGTCTGGCCCTAAATCAGAAACATCAGAGCCTGCTCTTTGCAAGGTTTAGGGTTTAGGGTTTAGGGTTTAGGGTTTAGGGTTTAGGGTTTAAGGTTTAGGGTCTAGGGTTTAGGGTTTATTTAGGGTTTGGGGTTTGGAGTTTGGTCCGGAGTGTTAACCGGGTTTGGACGGTTGCTGCCGGCATTGAGTTTTTTCTTGCCGAAAACACAGGTGTTTCAGCTTTTTTCATTTTCCTGCCAAAGTTGGGTGGACTTTTGACGGCGTATATTGGATCAAAAAAATATTCGAGGGCTCCAAACAGACAAAAACGGGAATGTGTGTGTGTGTGTGTTTTTTGCCTACAAGCTTCGAAAACTGCAAATCAGCAAACAACCTGGCTCAATTTTGGTGATTTTTGGTGCCTGGAGATTCATTTCCTGCCAAGTTGAATCGCGTCTTGCTTTTCGAGATGTTCAGACACGCAATTTCTATTCATTCTGGTCAGGTTTTAGGTTCAGGGTTTTAGGGTTGGGGTTTGGGGCTTGTAGTTTTATGGTTTTTGGCTTGGGATTTGGGGTTTAGGGTTCGGTCGGACTTGCGAATGCGAAACGTGGACCTATTCAATTGCTCAATCGGTGAATGATGTTATTAAGAAGTGGCAGCGTGATCTCAATTTTGCTGAAAGGGCTTCTTCGGATGAGCATCTTCAAGAAATCTTTCAACCCAACTAGAGAAACTGAGGGAACGAGAGCAACAATGGCATGTGACAATGCGTCCCCACTGTGGACTGCAGATGTGAGCATCAAAACGGGACCAGTGTTTTCATAGCGCGTTCTTTCAAGGATATTGGCGCGAACAGAAACAGAATTGCTTACGCAAAGAAACGAATGTAGAATGTAGGGGACGCAAGTCGCCTAAATGCACAGTGCTCCGAAGAAAGCAGCACAGTGGACCGTTTGGCATGAAGAAGCTTCAAAAGCCTGCCGCAGAGTTTAGGGCGTTTAGGGCTTAGGGCGTTTAGGGCTTAGGGCTTAGGGCTTAGGGCTTAGGGCTTAGGGCTTAGGGCTTAGGGCTTAGGGCTTAGGGCTTAGGGCTTAGGGCTTAGGGCTTAGGGCTTAGGGCTTAGGGCTTAGGGCTTAGGGCTTAGGGCTTAGGGCTTAGGGCTTAGGGCTTAGGGCTTAGGGCTTAGGGCTTAGGGCTTAGGGCTTAGGGGCCCTGCGCTCCACCTCGTCCAACGTAAAGCCGTGGTTCCGGGCCAGCTCCCGTAGATAGCGCTCCTCGCTTCACATCGCGACTTTGGCAACCCTGAACCCTCTACTCCGGGCTTGCAGGGTTCATAGGGTTTAGGGTTCCTAGGTTTCTAGGGTTTCTAGGGTTTCTAGGGTTTCTAGGGTTTCTAGGGTTTCTAGGGTTTCTAGGGTTTCTAGGGTTTCTAGAGTTTCTAGGGTTTAGGGTTTAGGGGTTAGGGTTTTTAGGGCTTGCAGGGTTCATAGGGTTTGCAGGGTTTAGGGGTTAGGGTTTTAAGGTCAACTCCGGCCTTAGTTCGTGGGGTTTGTAGGGTTTAGGGTTTCCAGGGTTTCCAGGGTTTCTAGGGTTTCTAGGGTTTCTAGAATTTCTAGGGTTTACAGGGTTTATGGGGTTTATGGGGTTTACAGGGCGTATAGGGTCTATAGGGTTCACAGGCTTTAGGGTTCATAAGGTTCGTGGGGTAACCCCACCACTGGGGTTTAGGGTTTCTCGGGTTTGTAGGGTTTCTTGGGGTTTATAGGGTTTACAGGGTTCACAGAGTTTGTAGGGTTTGGGGTTTAGGGTTTATAGGGTTTGCAGGCTTTAGGGTTCGTAGAGTTCAAGGGGTTAGGGCTTAGGGTTTTCTAGGGTTCACAGTGCGTATACGGCTGTAGGGTTTACCGGGTTTATGGGTTTATAGGGTTGTAGGGTTGATAGGGTTAAAAGGGCTATAGGGGTTTATAGGATTTACAGGGTTTGTAATAGGGCTTACAGGGGTTTACAGGGCTTGTAGGGTTTTGTGGACTCGGTCTCGTGAGGGCTTAGAAGGGCTTAGAAATGCTTGGAAGGGCTTGGGGACTGTAGCCACTGCTTGAAGGTTTAGGCTTTGACCTCCCCCCCCTTCCAGACAAAAAGCAAAACTAAACAGAGGGCCTTCTAGACCCGCAACCCTAAACCCTAAACCCTAAACCCCAAACCGCAGCTCACGAAGCCTAAGTCCCAGCCCCTTGGGCGGGTCTCCTTGGGATCGAGCACCACGAGCTCCTCCGTGAAGGCATGCTCGGTGGACCTGCATTGGCACGTTTTCGGGTTTAGGGTTTAGGGTTTAGGGTTTAGGGTTTAGGGTTTAGGGTTTAGGGTTTAGGGTTTAGGGTTTCGGGTTTAGGGTTTAGGGTTTAGGGTTTAGGGTAGGGTTTAGCGTGCTCGGTGGACCTGCATTGGCACGGAGAGGGGTTTGATCTGCTGGCTGTTGTCTGAGTAAATTTTTGTTGGGTTTAGACAGTTTAGGGTTTAGGGTTTAGGGTTTAGGGTTTAGGGTCTAGGGTTTAGGGTTTAGGGTGTAGGGTGTAGGGTTTAGGGTTTAGGGTTTCGGGTTTAGGGGGTATAAACATAGGTGCTCCGTAAGGGGGGGGGGGGGGGCTCTTTGTGCTTCGTCTTGTTTGGGCTTGATTAGCAGGTTTTGACAGGGGACCAATCGCTTCCCACACGATCAATGCCCACAAAAAAGAGCCATGCTTGGGACCGCGCCACAACAAAAACTCTTCAAAGCAAATCTCCGCGTTGCCGTCTTTGTCTGCCTCCAAGGGGCTGTTCTTGTGCTTCTTCTACTATAGATTTCTTAAGGGAGGCTAAACCCTAAACCCTAAACCCTAAACCCTAAACCCTAAACCCTAAACCCTAAACCTTAAACCCTAAACCCTAAACCCTAAACCCTAACCCTAAACCCTAAGAGGGGGTTCATGGGGGGTACGAGTAGGTACCTGGGGAACCTCAGGGAAGCTTAGGGAGTCTTAGGATGTAGTGGGGGGTATTAGGGAACCTTGGGTTCCATACCCCCTTGAACCCCCCTCCCTTCAGAGCCCTATAGCAAACCGTAAGCCCCAAACCCTGAACTCTAAACCCTAAACCCTAAACCCTAGACCCTGAACCCTGAACCCTGAACCCTGAACCCTGAACCCTGAACCCTGAACCGGAGTCCGATTGAGACCGCTTGAACTCAGATCCTCCCGGCTCCGGGGATCAGGGTCGAGCAGGATGGCCCTGGAACCCACACCCCCCAAACTCCCCACGCTCCCTTAACCCCAAACTCCCTAAAACCCAAATCCTACATCCTAACCCTAAACCCTCACAACCCAAAACCCTGAACCCCCCAAAAACCTAAACCCTAAACCCTAAACCCCAAACCCTAAACCCTAAACCCCAAACCCTAAACCCTAAACCCCAGCCTTGTTCCAGTTCAGCTTGAGGAGATGCTGCGGGACCGCGTGGCCGGCAGGTATCTCACAGCGGTCGCGGATGGCCTCTGAGGCGTAGGGTTCTCCGGTTTAGGGTTTAGGGTTTAGGGTTTATAGGGTTTAGGGTTTAGGGGTTAGGGTTTAGGGTTTAGGGTTTAGGGTTTAGGGTTTCGGGTTTAGGGTTTAGGGTTTAGGGTTTAGGGTTTAGGGTTTAGGGTTTAGGGTTTAGGGTTTAGGGTTTAGGGTTTAGGGTTTAGGGGTTTAGGGTTTAGGGTTTAGGGTTTAGGGTTTAGGGTTTAGGGTTTAGGGTTTAGGGTTTAGGGTTTAGGGTTTAGGGTTTAGGGTTTAGGGTTTAGGGTTTAGGGTTTAGGGTTTAGGGTTTAGGGTTTAGGACCCGAAAACCCTGGAATCTTCCTCCTACAAGCCTCTGCGGCAAAAGAACCTGCAACCCTGCAACCTCTCACTGTCCTCCGGCCTGTTCGAACTCGTCGAACGACAGTCTGCCGTCCTTGTTCTTGTCCAGGGCGAGGAACTCCTGACTCCAAGAAGGAACCCTAAACCCAACCAGGGCTCAGCGATTCTGGAAACTTGAGAAGTTCAACCTCAACCCTGAACCCCCTGAGCCCTGAACCCCACCCTTCAACCCCTCAACCTTAAACCTCCCTGAACAACCTCCCTAACCTCCCAACCCTCCCTAACCCTCCCTGAGACCTCCCCGCAAACGAACCCCGCCTCCAGCGCCTGTCTCGCCTGCTCGAGAGTAAGCCGGTGCTTCTTGGCCAGCTCACTGCAGGTGGAGAAGCTGAGCCTTGGTAAAAAAATATCTGGGGTCCGAAGAGTTCAGGGTTTGGGGGTTTGGGGGTTTAGGGGTTTAGGGGTTTAGGGTTTAGGGTTTAGGGTTTAGGGTTTAGGGTTTAGGGTTTAGGGTTTAGGGTTTAGGGTTAGGTTTAGGGTTTAGGGTTTAGGGTTTAGGGTTTAGGGTTTAGGGTTTAGGGTTTAGGGTTTAGGGTTTAGGGTTTAGGGTTTAGGGTTTAGGGTTTAGGTCTGTCTCTCCCTCTCTCTCTCTCTCTCTCTCTCTCTCTCTCTCTGTCCCTCTCCGCGTCTCTCTCTGAAAGGGCGGAGCTGACGGACGAGCTCCTCCGCACCTGCCATGCTCAGAGCTCCCACCCGAAACTCTGAAGCCCTAGTCCAAAAACCCCAAACTTGTACTCTACTGAACCCTAAACCCTAAACCCTAAACCCTAAACGCTAAACCCTAGACCCTAAACCCTAAACCCTAAACTCATAATATGGGCAGCCTTTCCAAGTACTCTACTGAACCCTAAACCCTAAACCCTAAAACCCCTAAACCCTAAACCCTAAACTCATAATATGGGCAGCCTTTCCAAGTCCAACAAACTGGGGTTAGCTCCGAGAGCACCACTCAAAAGCGGGCAGCCCCAAACTTACGGGTCCTTACAGTAGGGTTTTGGGTTTAAGGGTTTAAGGGCTTCAGGATTTCAGGGTTTCAGGGTTTTTTTCGGGTTTCGGGTTTCGGGTTTCGGGCTTCGGGTTTCGGGATTCGGGTTTAGGGTTTAGGGTTTCGGGTATCCCCCCTTTTCTCACCCTTCTAAACCCGAATTCCCAATTCAATCAAACTGGGGGGGGCCTCTTTCCTCGACCGGCCTCGGGCGCATCCTGAGGCAAGGCTTTGGGCGGGGTCTTGGGTTTGGGGTTTGGGGTTTGGGGTTTGGGGTTTGGGGTTTGGGGTTTGGGGTTTGGGGTTTGGGGTTTGGGGGGGTTTGGGGTTTGGGGTTTGGGGTTTGGGGTTTGGGGGGGGGGTTGGGGTTTGGGGTTTGGGGTTTGGGGTTTGGGGTTTGGGGTTTGGGGTTTGGGGTTTGGGTTTGGGGTTTGGGGGGTTTGGGGTTTGGGTTGGGGTTTGGGGTTTGGGGTTTGGGGTTTGGGGTTGGGGGTGGGTTTTTGGGTTTTGGGGGGGGTTGGGGTGGGGTTTGGGTTTGGGTTTGGGTTTGGGGTTTGGGGTTTGGGTTTGGGGTTTGGGGTTTGGGGTTTGGGGGGGTTTGGGGTTTGGGGTTGGGGTTTGGGGTTTGGGGTTTGGGGTTTGGGGTTTGGGGGTTTGGGGTTTGGGGTTTGGGGTTTGGGGTTTTGGGGTGGGGTTGGGGTTGGGTTTGGGGTTTGGGGTTGGGGTTTGGGGGGGGTTTGGGTTTGGGGTTGGGGGTGGGGTTTGGGGTTTGGGTTTGGGGTTTGGGTTGGGGTTTGGGGTGGGGTTTGGGGTTTGTTTGTGTTTTTTTTGGGGTTTGGGGTTTGGGGTTTGGGGTTTGGGGTTTGGGGTTTGGGGTTTGGGGGTGGGGTTTGGGGTTTGGGGTTTGGGGGGGTTTTGGGGTTTGGGGTTTGGGTTTGGGGTTGGGTTTGGGTTGTGGGGTTTTGGGGTTTGGGGTTTGGGGTTTGGGGTTTGGGGTTTGGGGTTGGGGTTTGGGGTGGGGTTGGGGTTTTGGGGTTTGGGGTTTGGGGTTTGGGGTTTGGGGTTTGGGTTTGGGGGTTTGGGGTTTGGGGTTTGGGGGTGGGGGTTTGGGGTTTGGGGTTTGGGTTTGGGTTTGGGGTGGGGTTTGGGGTTTGGGGTTTGGGGTTTGGGTTTGGGGTTTGGGGTTTGGGGTTTGGGGTTTGGGGGTTTGGGGTTTGGGGTTTGGGGTTTGGGGTTTGGGGTTTGGGGTTTGGGGTTTGGGGTTTGGGGTTTGGGGTTTGGGGTTTGGGGTTTGGGGTTTGGGGTGAACCCTAAGCCCTAAACTTTCGCTATACATAGAACCCTCTAAACTAACCCTAAACCGCACGCACTAAACCTATACCCTAAACCCTGGATGGTTTGAGGATTGAGGATTGATGGGGTTAGTGGGGCTTGGGGCTTGGGGCTTGGGGGTTTGGGGCTTGGGGTGCAGGATGGTTTGGGATTTGGGGTTTGGGGGGTGCCAGGTATGGGGATTCATGACTAGACACACAACAAGGGGCTTTGATGTGGGGTCCCGTTGCGAAGAAGATCTCTGTGCCGAGGCCCCGGCCAGTTTGCTGCCCGGTTGCTCGAACTTCTCTGCAGCCTCGCGGTTTAGGGCTTGGGGTTTAGGGCCTAGGGTGACCTAAACCCTCAACCCAATCACAAGCCGTGAACCTCTAGTTGTAGGGTCCTTGAGGAGGGGTTTTCAGGGGGTTATAGGGTCCTTAAGCTACCCCCCATGGACCCCCTTCCCTCAGGGACCCTATGATCTAGACAGCAAAAAAAAGCCAGGACCCCAAACGCTGCAAACCAACATGCCGCCGTCAAAGTTCTGAGACTGTGAGCCCCCAAAACGAAAATTTCCGAAGGCCCCCGAGAAGCTCTAAACCCTAAGCCCTCAACCCTCAACCCTCAACTATCAACCCTCAACCCTAAACCCCAAACCCTCACCCTAAACCCTAAACCCTAAACCCTAAACCCTAAACCCTAAACCCTAAACCCTAAACCCTAAACCCTAAACCCAAAACGGCAGACCCAAGTTCCTTAGCAGCCCCAGGGCCTCACTGCGGCCTCTGGCCGGTACGGGACACTTCCTCAGTCTCAGTCTGCAAAGCTGCGTTTTAGGGTTTAGGGTTTAGGGTTTAGGGTTTAGGGTTTAGGGTTTAGGGTTTAGGGTTTAGGGTTTAGGGTTTAGGGTTTAGGGTTCAGGGTTTCGGGTTTAGGGTTTAGGGTTTAGGGTTTGGGGTTTAAGGTTTAGGGTTTAGGGTTCAGGGCTTCGAGACCATGATAGAGAGAGTTGCCCACATGCCTGCACAGCCCTCGACAAGAGTTTTTGTGGGGTCTGGTCGAAGAACCCTGAAGTATATGGGCTTAGGGGATATGGCGTTTCGGCATCTTACACAGTATGCGGAGTATACTTTTGCTTTCGCAGAGAAACCCTAAACCCTAAGCCCTAAGCCCTAAACCCTAAACCCTAAACCCCAAACCCCAAACCCTAAGCCCTAAACCCTAAACCCTAAACCCTAAACCCAAGCCCCATGCAGGGCTTCGGGGTTTCGAGGGTCTCGGCACGAGTTCCGGGCTTTTGGAGTTGAAGCGAACCGTCTCTGGACCGTCCTCCGAAACTTGGAGGTGCATGGTACTTCTTAACCAATGATAACTGTACTTATAGCCCAGTTGTAACCCCCTTAAGTGCCCTGATATGGTTCTAAGTACAGTCATACGTACAGTTATAGTTGGTTAATAACTACCATGAACCTTCAAGCAGGGTTCACACTCACAAGGTTCCCGGTAGTCTCCCTTGTGCAGTGCATGCGGCGGCAGGTGTTCTTCATGGGCCTGTTTTGGGCACAGTACCCCAGAACAAGGGAGTATGCTGCAATCATCGGGACTCCAAAAGGCTCATTCTGTTGGGTGCCAGGCCCTAAACCCCAAACCCTAAACCCTAAACCCTGATATTCCTCCTCCTCCAGCTCGGAAGCTGCCGTGTCTCTGGTGCCGGCCTGCCATCCGACACGACGTGTCCTCACAGCCCCTCACCTTCTCGCCTTCCTGAGGTCGTCGCGTGTTGGACAGGCGGGTCCTCACCTGCATAGCCAACACAGGACGACGCGGAGATCCGGTAACCCTAAACCCCTGAGCCGGGAGGATACAAAGGGTTCAGATGCCGGGCCTGCAGCATCTACCATCGCAGAGTCCACTGCTGCCTTGCCAAAAGTCTCATTCAGACATATTCGTCTGTGACGAAGCGAGGTCTCCGGTATCTGCTAGGAGGCAGACCAGAACCGCCTCGGACATTCATGCTCAGGGAGAGGGCCAGAGAAGAGAGAGAGGAGAGAGAGGAGAGAGAGGAGAGAGAGGAGAGAGAGGAGAGAGAGGAGAGAGAGGAGAGAGAGGAGAGGAGAGAGAGAGAGGGAGAGGAGAGAGAGATGGCGACGGGAGAGGAGAGGAGAGGGGGAAAAGAGAGGAGAGAGAGGAGAGAGAGGAGAGAGAGAGGAGAGGAGGAGAGAGGAGAGAGAGGAGAGAGAGAGAGAGTGCGCGAAAGACATCGTGGGGTTCGAGGTGTCCTTTGAAGTCTTGCTGCACGGCAGCTGGGTCCGACACGAGGTCGGCCTCATCCCCAATGATCTGGCGCGGGTCATCCTTTCAAGTGATTCAGAAGAGCTCTGCTTGCAAGAAATGCCTCCCTCTCGGTTCATTGTAGGCCCTAAACCCTAAACCCTAAACCCTAAACCCTAAACCCTAAACCCTAAACCCTAAACCCTAAACCCTCTCGGTTCATTAGAGGGCCTGGTTCTCGTCCAAGACCTCTTCGGCAGAGGAAGCTTGGGTGTCGCTCACCGGGCTTACCAACTGCAACTCCTCGAAGCTTGACTTCCAGGGCTCTCCCACGCCTCCAGGGGTTTAGGGTTTAGGGTTTAGGGTTTGGGGCTTGGGGTTTAGGGTTTAGGGTTTAGGGTTTAGGGTTTAGGGTTTAGGGTTTAGGGTTTAGGGTTTAGGGTTTAGGGTTTAGGGTTTAGGGTTTAGGGTTTAGGGTTTAGGGTTTTGGGCCCTTAATTAGGCTTAATCCTCCCTAAATATCCTCAAAAAGGTGGTAACCTAGGGGGGGAGGGGTAGCATAGAGGAGGAGCCCCCTGACACCTCTGCTGGGCAGTGGGAAGTCGTAGTCGTCATCTTCCGCCTTAGGCTTGGCCTGCGCGATGTCATCGCGCTTGGCATGGAAGAGGTCCTTGGTTGCTGAGAGTTCAGAAGCCCCCCAAAAAAATTGTACACTTTCAGCTCTATAGGGGATTCTAGTACCCCAAAAAAGTGTACACTTTCAGCTCTATAGGGGATTCGAGTACCCGAAAAAGTGTACACTTTTCAGCTCTATAGGGGATTTCTAGTACCCCAAAAAAGTGTAAAGTGTACTCATTCAGCTGCTTAGGGTCGGAGAAGCCGCTCTTCAAAATGTCGTTGATGCTCGGCTCCTTGTCCTCTTCGGGCTCCGTCACCTCCACCTCGTCCGCAATCTCAATCCTCTTCTTCTTCTTTTTCGGGCCGCGCCTCGATATGACAAAGCGGCAGCTCAGGCACACCTGCCCCCATTGAAGCCCCCATGCCCCGGAGACGCTGCGCGCCTCGGCGTGTTGCCGGAGCTGCGTGCCTTGGTGCTCTAGACCCTGAACCCCAAACCCTAAACCCTAAACCCTACACCCCCCAAACCCTCAAAGCCTGTAAGCCCAAAACCTTTACCCCCAAAACCCAACCTGGCTTTAGAATAGAGCTGCTCGACGGGATGGGCATCCGGTATCCCACACTGGCCTTGCAGAAAGGGACCTGCAAACTGTGGCAAACACCCCCTAAATGGGAGTTTGCGAAAAACACGGACTCCAAATCTTGACCCCAAAAACTTTGTAGGACTCCCTTGTCATAAGGACCCCCACAAGGTACCCCCTAATTCTGGAAACCCCAAGATCAGAACCAAGAGCTTGACTTTCTGTCTCTGAGCCCTAGAGTGGACTTCACACACTCGCGTCATCAATCGAGCTGCGTTGCTCCAGAGCTTGTTGGCATCGCCCTCCCCCTCCCCCTCTCCCCCCCTTCCCCTCTCCCCCTCCTTTTTGGGTATCTTCGCCTCGCGGCCAGCAAGCCCAGAAAACCTCTAGACCTCTAAACCCTAAACCCTAAACCTGAACCCTAAACCCTAAACCCTAAACCCTAAACCCCAAACCCCAAACCCTAAACCCTAAACCCTAAGCAACTCCTAACTCCCAAGGCCCCCGGCACTTCGATGAGAATGCGCGCGCTCTGGCCTCTGGTACTGTTGCTGGAGGTTCCGGCTCGGCTTGCGCAAAGGCTTAACTATCCTAGGGGTTTGTCCCAAACAGGGCTCGGGCTTTAGGGTTTAGGGTTTAGGGTTTAGGGTTTAGGATTTCGGGTTTAGGGTTCAGGGTTCAGGGTTCAGGGTTTAGGGTTTAGGGTTTAGGGTTTAGGGTTTAGGGTTTAGGGCTTAGGCTTTAGGCTTTAGGGTTTAGGCTTTAGGCTTTAGGGTTTAGGCTTTAGGCTTTAGGCTTTACGCTTTAGGCTTTAGGCTTTAGGCTTTAGGCTTTAGGCTTTAGGATTTAGGCTTTAGGCTTTAGGCTTTAGGCTTTAGGCTTTAGGCTTTAGGCTTTAGGCGTTAGGCGTTAGGCTTTAGGCTTTAGGCTTTAGGCTTTAGGGTTTAGGGTTTAGGGTTTAGGGTTTAGGGTTTAGGGTTTTAGGGTTTCGGGTTTCGGGTTTAGGGTTTAGGGTTTAGGGTTAGCCTCAAGAAGTTTCACAAAAGCACATACAAAATCCACGACAACCAACAAGCAAACAAAGCGAGCTGCCGCAGTACAAGAGCCCTAAACCCTAACTCCTAAACCCTAAACCCTAAACCCTAAACCCTTTACGAAGGTCCCGGCAAGGCCAACTCAGACGGGACCTTGCCTGGGCCAAGGCGATAGGGTTTTGGGGTGAGGGGGGGGTGGGGGGGGGGGGGGACGGGGGGGGGCGAAGCCTAGGATTTCGGGTTTGGGGGTTTAGGGCTTAGGCGTGGTTTAGGGTTTAGGGTTTAGGGTTTAGGGTTTAGGGTTTAGGGTTTAGGGTTTAGGGTTTAGGGTTTAGGGTTTAGGGTTTAGGGTTTAGGGTTTCGGGTTTCGGGTTAGGGTTTAGGGTTTAGGGTTTAGGGCTAGGTTTGCGGTTTGGAGTTTACCTGCAACTCCCGAGAAGCGAGGGATAACAACAGGGTTTGAAATGTACCGTGGAGGGCGGGGAGATCATAAAAAAGACTCAGTATAGTATATAACTTACAAATGTATGTTGTATAATATATGTTACCTATTGTCTATTAGATATGTTACATTATACTATTTCATAAGGGGGGGGGGGTCCTTGAAGTACCTGAACTGACGTCCTTGCTGTCTAGCTCGACCCTCACACAAGTGGCCTTGATCCTGAAAACCGACAACCCACGAACACTAAACCCTAAACCCTAAACCCTAAACCCTAAACCCTAAACCCACGAACCAACAACAAGATCCCCGGATCAGGATGCTGAGGCCACACCCCCAATTGAGCCCCTCAAGCCTCCAGATTCGTCCATCCTGTCACCCCAAAGCCGAAATTCAAACCCTTAGCTGCTGAATCCTGCAGCCCCGCCCCCCCCTCCATCCGAAATCCCGGAACCCAAGCACAGGCATCTTAACCCTAAACCTAAACCCTAAAACCCTAAAACCCCAACTCCCCTAGACCCCAAAACCCCAAAACCCTAAAATCCTAAAACCCTGAAACCCTGAAACCCTAAACCCCTAAACCCTAAACCCTAAATCCCCCAACTCCCAGAACGCGCACATCCCAGGGTGCGGCGGACGCTATGCGATCCATCTCGTAGGGAGGAGGAGTGGGTGTCCTCGCGCAAAGAGAGGCAGGAGGAGTTTCAGGGTTCAGGATTTAGGGTATGGGGCTTAGGGCTTAGGGCTTAGGGCTTAGGGCTTAGGGCTTAGGGCTTAGGGCTTAGGGCTTAGGGCTTAGGGCTTAGGGCTTAGGGCTTAGGGTTTAGGGGCTTAGGGCTTAGGGCTTAGGGGCTTTAGGGGCTTTTAGGCTTTAGGCTTAGGGCTTAGGGCTTAGGGCTTAGGGCTTAGGGCTTAGGGCTTAGGGCTTAGGGCTTAGGGCTTAGGGCTTAGGGCTTAGGGCTTAGGGCTTTAGGGGCTTTAGGGGCTTAGGGCTTAGGGCTTAGGGCTTAGGCTTAGGGCTTAGGGCTTAGGGCTTAGGGCTTAGGGCTTAGGGCTTAGGGCTTAGGGCTTAGGGCTTAGGGCTTAGGGCTTAGGGCTAGGGTTTAGGGTTTAGGGTTTAGGGAGTTCAGGGCTCAGGGGCACGCAATACGCTCACAACGTGTTATCAGAAACCCATGCGACAGCCATGTAGGCCCCACTGCATTGCTTAGCCTCCCTGTAAAGGTCTTGTGTAGGTTCAGGGAACCCAAAATCCCAAACCCTAAACCCTAAAACTGAAACCCGACACCGCGGCTTTCAACCCTGAAGTCCTAGAACCTTTAACTCCAAGCCCATAACTCCAAGAGCAACAAACACCCTAGACATCAAACCAGGACCCTGGAAACCTCCTGTCCTCCCGACCTGGAGAATTCAGGTCATCATAACCTGGGGGGTTCAGGGCTTTGGGGCTTATGTCAGGTAAATATCAGGTTTAGGGTTTAGTCGAGGGTTTAGGGTTTGGGGGTTTAGGTTTTAGGGTTGTAGGGGGTGCAGGGTTCAGCTGGCAGATGGCTGAAGCTCCGTTCAAAACCCCAGGTTTAGGGTTTAGGGTTTAGGGGGTATCTTGGTTTAAGGTTTGGGGTTCGCCTACACACCCCATAAAACTGCGTGGCCCAAAGCCCTCAACCCTGGTACATCCCAAACCTGAGTTCGTGTTTTTGGAACCTCTTTGAAGTTACCAAAATAGGGATGCTGTACTATCTGCTATATAAACCCATTATAACTGTAGCTGAGTTTAAGTTCCTTCCAAAGCGCCCAGAAAGCGCCCAGAAACCGAAACCCTAAACCCTAAACCCTAAACCCTGAACCCTTAACCCTTAACCCAAAATCCTAAACCCCAAACCCTAAACCCTAAACCCTAAACCCTAAACCCTAAACCCTAAACCCTAAACCCTAAACCCAACAGATCCCCAGCGGAGGAGTCTAAGGTCGGCACCGGCCTGCTGCCGGCGACGGACCAACGCATCGTGCTTTTGCCTCCACTCTTTTTGCACCTCGCGCAAGGTTTTGAGGCTTAGGGGTTTAGGGTTTAGGGTTTAGGGTTTAGGGTTTAGGGTTTAGGGTTTAGGGTTGTCCGGTGGTTTCCGGGTCTAGGGTTTAGGGTTGGCCCAAACCACCCGAACCCAAAAAGGAATTGGGCGCTTGCCTGGGTGAGCTTTGTCAAGCCGCCTGCGTACCTGCAGAGGGATCGGGATGAGATTATGGGAGTGGTACCCCTTAAGTATATCCCAAATACAAGAGAATCCCCCCCTTGTAAGAAGCCCCGAAATAGGTGCCCCTAACTTTGGGAATCCCACATATTGCGGTAGGGGCTGTTATTTCTAGTATCCCCAAGGGACACCCAAAATCTACACTCACCCCAGTATTTATAAGGATCCCTAAATACAGACACTCAGCCAATAACAGGAATATAACCCCTGTTTCATAAAGTGTTGGGGCTTCCGTCTTGACACCGTCAGTGACTTTAAGACTTCAGGCTTTAGAGAGAAGGGCGAAGCATCTCGAGCTGGGCCGCAACCTCGCTACAGACACTCAAGGCTTAAAAAGTATAATAGTAGGAATAGTAATAGAAACAGACATAATAGTAATAATAGTAATGATAATAATAATAGTAATAATAATGAGTATAGATGCTTCCTGTGCTCGGGGATCATCCGACGACAAGATGTGGACACAACGGATGCACGTGCTGCGGAAAATGGCCTGTCTGCGATGCGGTTGGCGATCTCTTCAATTTGGGGGAGGCTGTCCTTCACTAGCAGTCAGCATCCAGCGCAACTGGCTGGTTCTTAAGTAGGGAATGAGGGAATGAGGTACCCTGTGTAATCCCTTGAAGGATATGTATAGGGCCCGAATTCTCTAATTCCTACTAAGAACCAGGGGCACCAAAGTGGGGTCCAGGTCTCACACATTCAGGTGCAGCACGACAGCATCTTTGGCTGCAGGAAGGAAAGCATCGAGATCATGTCCCCGAACGTTCACTCAACCCCAGGGGATCAAAAACCTAAACCCGAACCCTATACCCCAAACCCTAAACCCTAAACCTAAAACTAGACCTAGCTCCGAAAGGAGAGGTTTCCCAGGTCCTCGTTTCGACTCCTCTCTTTGCTCGCTTTCTGTGGTTTTGGCACCCAGGCACCGATGCCCGCGGCCTGGAGGCTGAGATGGGGTTTAGGGTTTAGGGTTTTAAGGGTTTAGGGTTTAGGGTGTTAGGGTTTAGGGTTTAGGATTTTATGGTTTAGGGTTAAGGGGTTAGGGTTTCGGGTTCAGGGTTGAGGGTTGAGGGTTGAGGGTTTAAGGTTTGGTTGATCAAGTCGTGTGCCCTTTTGGGGATACGCTAGTTCCACGGGCCTGTGTTCCAGAAGAAACATAATTCCTACTTTATATTCCTTATCGTGGCTGCTATCATTCATAGTAATGAGTTGGGATGTTCCCCCTTCTACTATCAGTCCTTAATAGGGAATATCATAAGGGGATACTACAATCCCTATTAAGGACTGTTAGTATAAGGGGGAACACCTCAAGTAATGAGTATAAATTTCTAGGATTGCTCTTTAAACCCCCTGAAAAATATTCCTGAATATAATCCTCTTAAACCCAATAAGGGAAAATATAAAATGTCCCAAGGGCCTACCTGGATGTGTATAAATATACCCCCAAAAAGGGACCCCCTCGGAGGCCACCTGCCACGTAGGGTTCGGGCTGAAGGTTCCGGGCGCTGGGTTGACTTGGGACTCTAGTTGAAGCCTGTGAGGCACTGGTTCAGGCTTTAAGGTTTAGAGTTTGAGGTTTGGGGCTTGGGGTTTGGGGTTTGGGGTTTGGGGTTTAACCTGAGCACGAACCCAGCGCCGATGTCGCCACATTCAGAACACTGAAAACGGCACAAAGCCTGTGCCCCCCCACCCCCAAAGAAAACAAATATACTAATAAATAAAAAAAGAACAACGTCAGGAACCCTACATACAGCCCTAAGACCCTGAACCTTCTGAACCCTGAGACGCTGACCTACGACCCCAGCACCCTGCCCATCAACCCCTAAACCCTAAACCCTAAACCCTAAACCCTAAACCCTAAACCCTAAACCCTAAACCCTAAACCCTAAACCCGAAACCTGTCCATCAACCCCAGAGCTCCATCGCCTGCTTTGCCAAGCTCGGAAGGATAGCGTCTGAGAGGTCGACAGAATGCCGGGTGGTGGCCTTAGGAGCTGTCTCGGGCTTTGAGGGCTTCGGGTTCACGGGTAGTTAAGAACAACGTATGTGGGCATGTCCTAAAACAGGGGGGGTACCCCGTTTATACCCCAAATAGAATAGAAGCCCCTGAAAGGGACCCCCAAGAAGCACTAATTACTCTCGGAAACCCCGATATGTAAGGATATCTACATGACAACATATAACATGTTTTCACCTCAACGAGGGTGCTTATTGGGGCTCAGGCGTAGGAAGGCTTTCTTTGGCTTTGTGGCTGAGGGGTACAGGAACTGCGGGGAGGCTTGACAAGGAATGAAGATGTTTCAACAGGGGGATGAAGGAACGGTTTCGGGTTTAGGATTTGGGGTTGAGAGTTTATGGCTTAGGCCCCGACATTCTAAAACTGGTAAAGCTCAATGTGTACAGATATGGATTCCGGTCGGACCGTTTTGGAGTCTAGGGTTTTGGGGCTTTGGGGCTTATAGGGCTTGCAGTCTTTGAGTCGAGGCCTGCAGGCCCCGAGCACCCTAGCCCTAAACCCTAAACCCTAAACCCTAAACCCTAAACCCGAAACCCTAAACCCTAAACCCTTGTGAAAACCTTTTGCTGCTTAAGCTCCCGGCCTTCCACGGCTCCCTGGGAGCGCTATTCGCATGCCTGCGCAACCCTAAACCCTAAACCCTAAACCCTAAACCCTAAACCCTAAACCCGAAACCCTAAACCCTAAACCCTGCAGGTTCAGGGCTGGGGTTGAAGTTGGGGGCCGGGTCTCACGCGTCTCGTTGCACAACACCCACGACGAGTGCACCAAAACTCTAAGTCACCCTGACCCAAACCCGAAAGCTGGTTTAGGGCTTAGGGCTTAGGGCTTAGGGCTTAGGGCTTAGGGCTTAGGGCTTAGGGCTTAAGGCTTCTGGCTTAGGGCTTAGGGCTTAGGGCTTAGGGCTTAGGGCTTAGGGCTTAGGCCTTTAAGAATTAAACCTCACCATGCTAACGACCCCTGCGACGCCTCGAAAGCCTTTGCTGAGGGCTCGCTACCAACACTTGAGAGCCCGAAGCCGCCCGAGCTCCGCGAGCGACCTGAGAGCACTGAACGTGCAGCCCAGGTAAAGCTGGGGCTGCTGGACGCTCTAAGGCAAGGTTAGGCCCACACTGGCCGGTCGAGCCTTCGAGTGTCAAAGGTAAAGACCCGTAACCCAAGACAATTTGCCGGGGCAACCTGCTGGGTTTCTCCCAGACCGTATTCGGCCTTCTCCCAGACCATTTCTGAGCCTTGTGCGCCTCTCACTGCTGGACCTTTTTGGGCTTCTCTTTGCAGCGGTACCCCTGCGGTAACCCCAAACAAGTTTGTGTCTGAGGAGGGATGCAAACGGTCGGGACGCTGGCCGGTCGCAGGGCAGCGGTACCCCTACGGTAACCCAATCCAATATGTGAGACAAAGAAGCACGCCCGATTTTGATGAAGCTCGCGACCTTTGCCTAGCTTTGGTGAAGGGAGCGCTGCCAAAACTCCATCTCTTTGCAGCCCTGCTCAAGCTCAGACCGGGACAGTGTTGAGCGTTACCGCCACACGATGTTGCGAGCGACCCGGACAGAGGGGCCGGTTAGAAAAAAATGAGGTGAGGCTCCGGAGCCCAGCGAGCAACCCAGAACGTAACTCACCCCAAGCCCTAAACCCTAAACCCTAAACCCTCAAACCCCTAAAAGCCCCAAAAGCCCCAAAAGCACCAACCTGTCCTCCTCCGGTGCGCTGGCAGGCCGAACGGCAGCCGCGTAGCCATGTCGGTTCGAGTCTTTCGAACCTTTTCGGTGCGGGCGCGGCTTTGCGGCTTGGGGCTTTAGGGCCCTAAACCCTAAACCCTAAACCCTAAACCCTAAACCCTAAACCCTAAACCCTAAACCCTAAACCCTAGACAGAACCCTGAAGGGCAATTAGGGCTTGGGGCCCCTGAGGTACGAAGGAACGCGGGGCCGGCGCCTCCCCGAGTCCTCACTCAGGAAGTCCACGGCTCAGCAGCCATCACCTCGGTCCATGGTCTAAGGTTTAAGGGTTTAAGGTTTAGGGTTTAGGGTTTAGGGTTTAGGGTTTAGGGTTTAGGGTTTAGGGTTAGGGTTTAGGGTTTAGGGTTGAGGGTTAAGGATAAAGGGTTTAGGGTTTGAAGGCCTGCAGCTTAGGGCTCAGGGCTTAGCATCTGGGATCATGGTTGGAAAAGAAGCTTGGGGCGATTAAGGGCTTTAGGGGCGTAGGGGACGTGACTTCCTCCCCGCCCAGCCTGTTGTCAGGTGCATGGCGAAAGCAAACTACGAGAAAAAGTAACGCAGATGCCTGAGGCTGGTGGAGGGGGCTGACAGTAGAAAGCCTCCTGCTATGACTGAGCTAGCCCAGCTCTTGTCCAACTGAGTGCCATGTGCTGAACAGAGAAACCCCCTTTCCTTGAGCAGCCAGGGGTGCCAGTTCAGAGAGCACGAGTGCGATTGCCGGCACACAAGCTTGCTGGAACCCTAGACCCTAAACCCTAAACCCTAAACCCTCAACCCTAAACCCAGCAGCACTTGTTCGAAGTTCTGGGGCATTGCTGCTCCGCAAGTGGCCCGGCCGGCCTGGCTCCGAGAGAAAAAATAGCTGCGCGCTCGCTGCGCACCGGAATTAGATGCACATTTAGATGCACTGCATCAGTGACGGGCAGAGCGCCCGACACTAGGGAATACTCTTGCTTCACACTTTGTAAGCAGCCGGTGTCTCCACGATCATGGGCAGGTACAGCCAGCCCCCCAAACCCTAAACCCTAAACCCCAAACCCTAAACCCTAAACCCAACAAGGCCGGCCGTCCCGTGTCATCTGTACTCATTCACCCAGGCCATGTTGTCAGAACTGTTGGACTTGTCGAGCGTTCGCAGCTTGGCGTGGACTTCCATGGCCTCACTTCTCCGAACAGTGATCGCCCTAAACCCTAAACCCTAAACCCTAAACCCCATTGCCCGAATGTAGGTTCTGACAGCAACTGCCTTGCCCAGAAATGCGTGTGTTTGGTGAGCCTCTTGCCTAAGAGAGTGGGAGACATTCAGGGTCGGCCCTTGAGCTGCCTCCAGGTCTGCGTTGTGGACGGCTTGCTCGAGGCCCTCCAAGAAGACCGCAATCTCCGTTGCCGACATCGTCACGCTCTCCTGCCACCAAGATCATTCCGGGTTTAGGGCTTAGGGTTTAGGGTTTAGGGTTAGGGACTAGGGTTTACAAGGGTTTACGTTTACTGCAGCTCCAGCTTCCAACTTTGGAGCTATGCAGGGGGAATGCCGGAGATCTGGCATGGGGGCCCAAGCCCGGCTCAGGAGCTCTCCGGATAGAGCCGAGTCACGCGAGGGCCTGCTGGGGGGTACAAGGCACTTTTTAGCGGTCCTGCGCCGTCAGGTCCAGAATGACGGCATAACCTTCTCCAACATGAAAGGTGGATGCCTGCACAAGCGGGGCACGGCTGGAGCAGCGAGCCATGAGAATCTTGACTGTCTCTATAAGTTGCCCACCCTTATACTAACAGTCCTGAATAGGGATTATAGTACCCCCTATTATAATCCCGATTTCGGACTGTTACTATAAGGGGGAACGTCCCAACCTGAGTTCGAGGCCCAAGCAATTGCTCAGATTTGGGGTGCCCCCGCGCCTTTGTTAAGGAGAAGCCGGTGTTTGCCAGCCGCTCCTGTGTGAACTTGACGATGGCCTCCGTGTGCTCGTCCTCCGCTCCTTGCTTCTCACATTTGGGGGGTTTCCGAAATTCGGTGTAGCTTATTGGGGTCCTTGTTGTAAGGGAAACCTACTGTCTGGGGGTCTATCTTCGGGGTCCCTTTATTTTCGTAAGCCGCCATTTGGGACTCGAGTGGTAGACGATCAGCATAGACCAGGGAAACAAACTAAACTGAAATTGTCCTGGCCTGAGCCCAAACCCACAAACACCCCATCCCAAACCCTCGATCCCCCCCCCCCAAAAAAAAACCAAACAAACCCAAAGAATCTGGACCCCGCCACACACCCCCCCCCCCCCCCACCCCCGGCCGCCAAAAAACAAAAGCAAAAAAGCCTAAACAAAACCCGAGGCCCTAAGCCGCTCAAGCCCTGCGCCCTAAACCCCCCCACCCCCCTGCCCCGCCCCCAAGCAAAAGCAAATAAGGCACACAAAACCAAGCCAGGCAGCTCTTATCCGAAAGGACCCTAAGCTGCTCCGCGGCTGTCTGCAGCCAGCAGATGAGGACGTAGAGGGCCAAGAGCATCGATGAGGCTGGGTCCACCTGCGAAGGTTGGGTTTAGGCTTTAGGGTTTAGGGTTTCGGGTTTGGGGTTTAGGGTTTAGGGTTTAGAGTTCAGGGTTTAAAGGCTTAGGTTTTAGAAATCAACTTGAGCCCTGAACCCCTAAATCCCTACACCCCACAACCCTGAAACACGTCAAGGGGGTTGTTTGGCTAGGGGTTCAGGGGCTTCGGGGACTCAGGCGGAGGGGTTTAAAGGCTGAGGGTTCAAACTGGCAGTCTCGCCTTGTCAAGCCAGTCACCACCCCGTCCGGTACTTCTGCACCAGCCACTTCCGGCCACGATCAGGAGAACCAGCCCATTCCCCAGGATCTTGGCTGGTAGAGCGGCAAACTTGATTTCCCCCCCCCTTTAAATCCTGAACCCGAAACCCCTTGTTCCCCAAACCGTCGACAGTTGGGGTTCTCAGGTTCTGCGGACGGATTTCCGCCTTGTCGAGACAGGGCTGCCGGATTCTCCGCTAGCTTGTGTCTCTCCTAGTCACTAGCCTGCCTTTGTCCTCCTTCATTTTAGAAATTATGAGGTCAACACGCAACGTTCTGGTTCACACCGTTTGGGGATTTCACTGGTGCCATGCTACTCGCTATAAGGAATAGAAGGGGTATAGAACAGTAGTGGCCCCAGAATGGGTCCATCAACGCACCGCGGGGTTTACAGTAGGGTGTAGGATCGAGGATTGTTGGGCTTTGGCATACCCTAAACCCTAAACCCTAAACCCTAAACCCTAAACCCTAAACCCTAAACCCATAGGGTGTAAGGTTTTGGGTTCAAGGTTGGGGCCTTTTGAAAGGGCACCGATTTTAGGGCCGTGGCATCGTTTCGGTGGTCCAAGGATACCGTCCGCGCGATCTCCGAATCTGCCTGCCTGCCGCCCGAAACCCAAAATCCTAAACCCTAAACCCTAAACCCCTCAACCCCTAAACCCTAAACCCTAATCCCTAAACCCTAAACCCAAAGTCAACAGACCCCTTACAGTTGCAGGTGTCAGGTCCTGTTGGGTGTTTGGGTTTAGGGTTTAGGGTTTAGGGTTGAGGGTTGAGGGTTTAGGGTTTAGAGTTTAGGGTCTAGGGTTTAGGGTTTAGGGTTTAGGGTGTAGGGTGTAGGGTTTAGGGTGTAGGGTTTAGGGTTTACGCGTCCCTTTCAATGAGGGCCCTTCAAGGGGGTTTAAAAGGGTCCGCTATGGAAGTTCCTTGTAGGGGTACGGGTCACTTCGTAGAAGGGCTTTAGTTCCCTGGAGGGCGTCCACATTAGAAAGACCCGCCTATACGGCTGCCGCCAACCCCGTGCCCCACCATTCTCTCCCCGTCCTCGCAACGTAGAGGCAGAACATCAGGAGGAAGGCCTCCAGAACTCAAAGGGTGTAGCCTACGCCGTCATCCTCTAAATCCTAAACCCTAAACCCTACTCGGTACCCCCAAACGGCCGATTCCCACCCAACAGAGGGGCCTTGATGACAATGCAGATAAAGAGGAGTACGACCAGTGAGTGGGGCGCGGCTTCAGCAGCGGCCTCCTGCAAGAGCTCAGGATTTAGGGTTTGGGATTTAGGCTGTCGGTTCAAGGGTTTGCCAAATCTCATAAGGCTTGGGCCCCAAGCAGTCTTGACCAAAAGTCTCGGTTGCGGGGCTTAGCTTAAGTTCTGAGTTTTTTTGGGGGGTGAGGGCTAGGAAGAGAGAGCTGGGAGAAAAAAAAAGGAGGCATGAAAGGAGAAGAAGGGCTGGCGGTCGCTTACTATGCAAAGCCGCTGCCGGGTAGGGTCACATTGCGTGACTTGCATTTCCCCTGTCAAGGGTCTCCGAGCGGTTAGGGTTTAGGGTTTAGGGTTTAGGGTTTAGGGTTTAGGGTTTAGGGTTTAGGGTTTAGGGTTTAGGGTTTAGGGTTTAGGGTTTAGGGTTTGGGGTTTGGGGTTTGGGGTTTGGGGTTTGGGGTTTGGGGTTTGGGGTTTGGGGTTTGGGGTTTGGGGGTCTGTGAAACTATCGTCGGACCTCGTTGATGCTCGCAGCCCTTTCCAAGTCCTCAATGTGAATGGGCTGGTCACGAGACCATTCGCTCGTCCGCTCAGTGTGTGCCAGCAGAAACTACAGGCGCGCAAAGAGCTTCGTCTCTTTGATGGCGGAACTCTTTGTATGGCGTCGGCCTTGTTTTTGTTTCCGATTGTGTGTTCGTGTGCGCTCTGCATGTGGTCCATGCCCGATGTTTGGATGCTAGCCGGGCATCCACTGCCCAGAGCATCCGTGCTGTCTGTGCAGCCGGTGCTGAGAGCATCTCTGCCGGATCGATCGTCACGTCAGTGCTGCCTTTTCAGCACGGATCCCCAAACGATGAACACGTCCATGTTGGCAACGACTGAAAGGAGGCATCTGCGATCAGCCAATGCTTACAAAAGACGCTTCGGGTGAACAACGCCGCGATCCACGCTTGCATCGCCCTGGTCATATGAAACAGGGCTTCTATTACTGTTATTGGTGAGTGTATATAAGGTTCCTTTTTAATATTGGTGAGTGTATATACCTGGTGTCCTTTTTGGGGGTACAAGAAATACATACCCTACTTCATATCTTCTGCAAGCGCATGCCACTGAAGTGCGCGCGTGAACGAAACGATCGGCGCGTGCTTTTGACAAGCAGCTTTGCACGTTCGTAACGATACGCTGGCAAGCAAAACGGCTGAAGTACACTGACTTTGTTTGGCGCAAGCCTACAGGTTCAAGTAAGTTGGCCATTTCAGTGGTCTTTGGGCTTGGCCAAGGCAACTCGAAACCCCGGATTGAAGCTGCCGGTTCTAAGCGACCCACATACTTCGGATGGCCCATGGTTCCAACCTCAGAAAGTAACCCTAAACCCTAAACCCTAGCCCTAAACCCTAACCCCTAAACCCTTTTCACTGGCCCACCCGGCCCGCCTCCTCCACATAGCTCTCGATCATCTCCTCCAACTGTGAGGATGCCAGGTGCTGGCGCAGCCTCTTCCAGGAATTTTGGGGGCTTGAGGTGTCTTTAGGGCGTAGGGTTCAGGGTTCAGGGTTTAGGGTTTAGGGTTTAGGGTTTAGGGCTTAGGGTTTAGGGTTTAGGGTTTAGGGTCGCTTTTCTCGGGGTTGAGGTGTCTTTCTGTGGTCAAAGTCGGCCTGGGCTGTTCGTCGAAGAGGCGTGTCAACAATTCTCTTCGCTCCTGGACGTGGGTAGTTCTCTCAATTAGCGCGGCGACAGAACACTACGATCCATGGCTACAGGCACGAACGAGTTTCCTAAACGATACAGGCAAACTTGCTCCGTACGCAATGCCTCGATGGCAATAGTCAGCTAGAAATATCACGAGCTAGCTAGACAACCAGATTTACATCACAAAGGATCTTGCACGCGGTCCCCTGCGCCTCCTCCTCCGAAGTCCTCCGGGGCGAGAACTGAAAAAATGGTAAGGCTCAGGCTCGGCCGGGTTTTTGGCTGGTTCTGAGTAGGGAATGAGGGTATGGAGGCCCTAGATTCTACCCTTTAAGGGATCATATAGGGGTTACTCATTCCCTCAGTCCCTGCTAAGGCCATGGCCCGAAGAGCTTCTCGACGTTCTCGATGATGAGGCTGATCATGGTGGACACTGCGAAGGCCGAGAAGAAGAGGATGCCAAGAGGCGTGAAGCGCTTCTTCCCCGTGGGGTACAGGTGCATGTCACTCTGATCCCGGACTTTCATCTGTGTCACGGCCAAGATGGCGCTGCTCATGACATCGCCAAGGGATTCAAACACCGAGGCTTTGATCAACTCGCTTCCGGACATAAAGTAGGCAATACCTCAGAAGGGCAGCCCTACACCCTAAACCCTAAACCCTAAACCCCTAAAGCTTCTGGGCAGGGAAGGGCTGCTCCTGCCCACCGCTTCGAGGCTCCGGCATTTGATGGCCACAAGGCTCACACCTCACCGTCTTCTTTCAGGGTTTAGGGTTTAGGGTTTGGGGTTTAGGGTTTAGGGTTTAGGGTTTGGGGTTTAGGGTTTAGGGTGACATCATACCGTATAGCACAATATTGTGTAATGAAACAGAGTACAAGATCACATAGCATGAGGGAGTACTCTACAAGACTATATCAGATGATGTGATATGACATGATGTGATTATTCTTCTTCTTCTTCTTCTTCTTCTTCTTCTTCTTCTTCTTCTTCTTCTTCTTCTTCTTCTTCTTCTTCTTCTTCTTCTTCTTCTTCTTCTTCTTCTTCTTCTTCTTCTTCTTCTTCTTCTTCTTCTTCTTCTTCTTCTGCACGCTTGAGAGGACCCCTCGACAGAGGTCCCCTGCCACGACATGATGTGATACTCCCCTAAACCCTAAACCCTAAACCCTAAACCCCTAAACCCTAAACCCCTAAACCCTAAACCCCTAAACCCTAAACCCTAAACCCTAAACCCCTAAACCCTAAACCCTAAACCCTAAACCCTAGGACTGCTGCCTCCCAGCCAGAAGGATAGGCTGATGGCCAGTGTGGCCAGCCGTGCTCGCGCCTGTGGAGGGACTCGAGTTCTGTTTATGCCTTTCACACCTCAGGTCGACTTCAGGGTTTAGGGCTTAGGGGTTTAGGGCTTAGGGGTTTAGGGTTTAGGGTTTAGGGTTTAGGGTTTAGGGTTGAGGGTTTAGGGTTTAGGGTTTAGGGTTTAGGGATCATTGGGCCCCGCCTTTGCTGAAAGCTTTGTCATGTGGCGGTGTCGGGCATAAGCTAGCCCGAGAAGCTACAGATCCTCCCCCCTGGCCACACGGCAGCGGCACTCAGGTCCCCAAGGCCCCTCCGAGCTCCGAGCCCCCACGGCCCAGATCTTCCAAAACCCCTTAGCTAAGGAATGCACCCTGATTCATAAGAAGGGTTCTGAGTATAAATTGGGGGTATGTTCCTTAATTAAGGAATATACCCTGATTCCTTAGTATACATTAGGGTATATTCGTTACTTAAGGGGTTTTGGAAGATCTGGAGAGTCTCTCCCCCGGCCACAAGCCTTTCTGCGTCCCTTGCAAGCACTCTCTCCGTGCAAGGAAACCCCTTCACTCAGTGAAGGGTCTAGGAGCCTAGGGAGCTTGTAGGGAGGAGCCTATAGGGTATAGGGGCCGAATACGTCACCAGATCCAGGAAAGGCAGCAAGACAAGACCACAGCAAGCCCAACGACAATGGCGAGGGCGGCCAGCGCAGCGTAGTTGGAAGAGAGGTTCTTCCTCTCCGCGCGCCAAACCCAGAGATACATGGCACCAGGAATGCAGAAGCAGCCCAAGACCCCGCAAGTTCCTCCCAGAAGTCCAAGGATGTTGGAGAGTGAGCTCAGCCACTGCGCCAGGCAGGCCGCCCCAAAGAGCAAGAGCGGCATGCCAGCGACCGTCCGCCAGGCGTTGAGGACGGGGCTACTGGCAGCACTGTTGTCTTTCACTCTTCCCGATGTGAAGAGGATGATGGTGTCGCAAACCAAGCTGTGGCACGGCATGAGGATCAGGGGCATCCGCAGTGCATTTGTGAAGCTCAAAACTCCTCGGGCAACTTCCATCACCTTGTTGTCCTGGAATTCCACCAGGATGTTCTTCGGCGTGTCCGCGCCAAAGAGCGAGATCCCCGCCAAGGAGACGAGGACGTAGCAGGCCGGCAGCACCAGAAGGTAGACCACGTGGATCACGGGGTAGATCGACTCCCGGTGCTGCGGCTTCAGCTCCGCGGCCATCTCCATGACCTAGTTCATGGTTGGGATAATACTAAAAGCTTAAAATGTCTGTTCCTTTTTGGGTTTAAGTGCCCTTAAACATGTAAAACATGTTCCCCAACTAGGACAAAGCGACGCTGAAGTGCCCGCCCGCCAGGGCGGAGGCTAGGATGGGCGAGGCCAGCAGGAACCTTACTGGCCCAAAATCCCAAAACCCACGGAAATAAAAGTTGAAACTTTCAGAATAAACTACCTTATAAGAGGAAATAAAAGTTGAAACTTTCAGACTACCTTATAAGAAGCCCAAAAGTTGAAAAGTTGGGTTTTTGAGCCAGTAAGGAACCCCTCCATCGAAGCCAGCTCCGCCGCGGGGCGCGGGCTCGGCCGGGAGCCTGACTGGTGGTTGGTGGGGAGTGGGACTGAGGGTACCCTATATCCCCCCTATATATATATATATATATATATATATATATATATATTTATTTATATTTATATTTATATATTTATTTATTTATTTATTTATTTATTTATATTTATATTTATATTTATATTTATATTTATATTTATATTTATATTTATATTTATATTTATTTATTTATTTATTTATATTTATATTTATATTTATATTTATATTTATATTTATATTTATATTTATATTTTCTTCTATATTTATAATTTATATTTTATACTTTTATATTTATATTATATTGTCTAATATTTATATTTATATTTATATTTATATTTATATTTACATTTATACTTATATTTATACTTATATTTTTTATTTAAATTTATTTCATATTCTATACTTATTTATTTATATTTTTATATATATATATATATATATATATATACCCTATATGTACTCTTTAAGGGATTCTACAGGGCCCCGAATTCCCTCATAAGCCTTACTAAAACCAACAGCAAGGAGCTGTCGAGGGCATCCTGGCTCAGGGCCACGATGAAGGGCACCAGGCACAGCAGGGCGGCGCCGGAGGTGAACCGCAGGGCGTGGTAGCTGCCCGAGTAGCAGGCGAGCAAGACGAAGACGTTCACCATCATGCTGAGCCCCAGAGGCGACACCTGGATCCCGAAGATGGCGAAGACGAAGATGGGGAGGAGGTCCAGAACCACCCGCTGCATGGCGGTCAGCGCCAGGAAGAGCACCGAGATCAGCATCAGCTGGAAACAAGCCGAGCCTTCCTTTCCGAAGAGCCGCTGCATCAGGGAGCCGAAGGTCGAGACGCCCAGCTGCCGCCCCAACTTTATCAGCAGGATCAGGGTAACATCCGTTGTCACAGCGAGGATGGCCAGCAACATCGTGCAAAGGGTTGGGCCGCAGCTGGCGAAGGCATGCGGCAAGGTCAGCAGGCCTGTCCCCATGGACGAGGCCGCAAGGTTCAGGGCCGTGGAAAGGGGCGTGCCGGAGCCACCTTTCTTGCCATTTCGCTGCGAGGCCTTCTCTAGGAGTGGCCTTTCCGCCTCCTTCATGGCCTCACGGGGGCCTGGACACAATGTCCATCCTACAGGTCAGGGGCTGGAGAGCTGCAGCGATGATCCCTGCATGTGCAACCCGAGTCTCTAGATTCCAAAATTCAGCTTCACAACCGAAAACACGGCGCGCCAGCGCTTCTTTCGTCCGCAACGGCCACGCTGTCGCTCCTTTAGTTGCTCTGGGCTTTGCAAGCCCGCAGCGAGCATTGTGAACATATGTACGGGGGCGACACTCTCTGAACTGCCAGGGCAACATGGGCTTGACGAGCAGGAAACTGCAAATTGAAACCGAACCACAAGATTTGGCCGCAGACC